GATTAATGCCACTCATATCATGTATTTAAGGGCAACCATAAAGGACAATTCATCCATTTGAAGATAAACTGCTCAGATGAAGAGACATAGACAAAACAGGCAATATTGCTAACAAATAGTTTTTTTGGATAGTAGTTATGATAAAAAAGTTTTTTATGAGGACTAGCTGCTAGGATACCTGGGGATACATTGTTACAGAATATTTTTTTAATTTTATTTTTATTTATTTTATTTTGTTTTACATTGTATTGCTTCCCCATTATTTTTAATACATCTAGTGGTACATGGCTTATTATAATAAAAGGCAGCTACAAATGTGAAAGCCGCCATTGTTTCACATCATCAGTTACAGACAAAAGTTTTGCTATGAACAATAACTCAAACTATTCCATAGACCATGTAATTTACTCAATGACATGTAAAGTGTGTACTACACAATACATAGGGAGGACAGAAAGGTCACTAAAAAAGTTATAATTTATTTATTCTACTTTGGATAAAAATGCAAAATCTCCGGTGGCAGCCCCTTTCGTGTCCATGCTATTTGAATATGGAAACTTGTCTTCTCAAATTAGTTTAAGAGACACATTTTGGCATAAAAAGGTTGTTGCAGTCAATGTGCTCTCTTCTAGTGAGATATACTGGAACTTCACTCTCTTAAGTAGAGTGCTTTGCATTTGAATTGGATAAATAAATAGGCTATATATTTCCTATTGATGAAATTTACTTAATATACATTAAGTTGAAATGAGTTCATATAAATGTAATACATTTTTCTACTTTATATACTGTACAACGGTTAATTAATTCAGTATTAAGGCTATGAATTATTCAGTAAGTGGTAAGGAATTTTTGGATTACTATTTTGCTGTCTTTAACATTGTAATTCACAACTGACATATCTTCAAGGTTTATATCTTTGCATATTTTTCTTTATTACGAGGTCAGTTGGTAGTGAAGAATGTTCACCTGTGTACTTTCTGACTTCTCATTTGTTGGGGGTGCATTTTATTTGTGTGTTTGGGGGTATTTATTAGTGGAGTTAGAGAATTTGTGATATCCATGATGTAATACTGCTAACAAACTGAATTAACTATGTTAGATGCCGGATTTAGCATTTAATTTGTAATTATTTACAACAGAGTAGAATGCTGCCTGTTTCTATTACCTTGTTATGAGCACTGAGACATTTCTTTGTATTATTTTTTGTAAAAGGCATATTATTACCTTTGTATGAAAGAATGCTTGAAGGGTAACACCAACCAAATACAGTGTATAAAATAAATTATAAATGTTAAACCTTTGCTCGCATGTCCCCAACCACAGGAAAAAAACAAACAAAACTTACCTGCAATGCCACACCAAAGCCAAGTTCTCCATGCAACATGATCCCCACTTTTCCTCTCTGAAAGTGGAGGGGTATCTCAAAGGCATAGCCTAGGGAGGACTTAGGGCTGCTCTGGGGAAGGGGCCGTGCAATCAATGCTCGTCTGATGATGGATGCAGTGTATACATCGTTAGCTGTCTGGAAACATCATCTCTGGCAGCAAAATTAATTATCTCTGTATGTGCAGCTTCTTATTAAAACACTGCACATACAGACTCCAAGTACCTTGACTACTTAAAATTACTGAAGTGGTGATGGTGCTTGGAGCAACTCTTTAATGCGAAGACAGTCCTGCATCTATATCACATTGCCAGTATATAATATATCCATCACAAATTCATATTTTTATAACTTCAAAATATTATAAATGGAATTAGCAGTAAGCTCAAAGAGTAAAAGATTGGTTACGTTTGCTTTTTTTTTTGGAGAATAAAGGCTCAATTATGTTCACTGAGAAATTCTCCTGTTTATTTAGTAGTTTGGGGAATTATATCAAGCCCAGATGTACTAATGTTTCTTTGATTTAATCACTTTCTAAACAAATTCATTCATCCGTATAAATAATTAGTTTTGGAGAGAACATGAAAATAATTTTTGTTCAATATTTTGAAATGTTAAAATATCTCTGTCAGTTAACAGCTGGAAAAATAACAAGATACCAATTATCATTAAAACTAATTGGTGTTTTTTTTTCCACATACTGTATATAATCACTATAACGATTGTGAATTTGAGTGATATAAATAGACCAATCGCAAGTATATTAAAATTATTATATATTTACTAACCTTTCAACGTTTTTCGTTTTTATATATTATGCTCTATTGCAGCATTTTCTGTGCTGTGCAAATCAAACATAAGTATAACAGATTTTTAAAATTGTTTAACAGCATAGAACAACACCGAAATGACAGTATTAATTAACTGGAATTCAATGAAATCGTTATACAGTGATCCAGAAAAAAATAATAAAAAAGACCTTTAATAGTCAAAGATATAACACAACATGTCACAGAAAGACCAAGGTCAAGTTCTAACATGGAGAAAATGTAGTTAAAAATCATTGTTATTTTTGAAACTGCCAGCAAAATTTTCCTGCTACTTTATAGAAAACAATATGGTTGAGAAAGCATTTGATCAAAGGGATTTTGAAAAAAAAGTTTCATACAGACTCAAACAATGATACGCTCACGATAATATCACGCTTTGAGATCAGCCCAGCAGTGCAAGAAATCAATGTTTTCGATGATAGAAGTAAAGACAAGACAGAGCATTTTAACATGCTTGAAATAAATGCTTTAGAGATGTTAAAGGGACACTGTTGTGCATGATACGACTGATACCCATTTAACAATAAACATGGAGAGAGTGCGATTTTAATTAGCCTGCCTGACAATCTGCCCTTTGCATGTCCATCTATGTGTCTGAAATCCTGCACCTGCACGTAAGTCTGTCTGTGTATTTATCCACCTGTCCTGTCTCTCTGTGTTTTTCTGAATATACAGGTTTGCAGAAAGTGTAAATATATTTGCTAGACTCAAAGTTTCAGGTTGACCATAAGGGTTTGCCACAATGAAGTCTTGCTTCTGCAGAGTCTGATGCCATTTCCTCTCTCTTATGCACATATCGCCACATTAGCAGTGGGATACACTGCTGGGTGATGTCGAAGGGCGTAGGGCACCCAAAGGGGACAGAGCTACCCAAATCCAAAGAATAGGCATGTCTGACTGTCAGTAATGCAGGCCAACCCCTTGAAGAGCCCACCATGCAGAGGGCGCTGTTACAATGATCCTCATGCCCTTAACATAGTGCAAGCTCGTCTACAAAAGCACTCGTGCCACACTTTCTAGGGACAGTTCCCTAGTAGTGATGTCCCGAACGGTTCGCCGAACAGTTCGCCAACGGTTCGCCACGAACGGTTCGCCACGGACTCATCATTGAGTCAACTTTGACCCTGTACCTCACAGTCAGCAGACACATTCCAGCCAATCAGCAGCAGACCCTCCCTCCCAGAACCTCCCACCTCCTGGACAGCTCACTAAGAATGCAGCTTCACAATGAATGTAAAACGGATGCTGTCCAGGAGGTGGGAGGCTCTGCTGCTGATTGGCTGGAATGTGTCTGCTGACTGTGAGGTACAGGGTCAAAGTTTACTCAATCATGAGTCCGTGGCGAACCGTTCGTGGCAAACCGTTCGGGACATCACTATTCCCTAGTGTTCCCAAGTTGGAACACCAATAAACAAACCTGGGATGGCAGTACAGAAAATTAGGACTCCACTCAGAGTCTGAGAGATAATTGCGTGGGAAAAAATAATCTAATTATCTCTCAGGTACAGAAAATCTACACAAAATATATAACACCCCAAAAGTACCCCCACTACGCTTTTATGGGCCTCCCACACAATCGTAAGGGAATTGGGGGTGGGAGTGTTGATGGTAAAGTACTACCTGAGGCTTGATTTGATGTCTGATTTTACTTCTGGTATTCAAAGTAGATGTTCGTTTAGGCGCCATTTGGATTCCTTGGGTCTATATAGAGGGGAGGCCAGTGTAATCGACACCGGTGCATGGTCTGACCATGTCGCAGTGCCATGCTCTGCCTGTAGGACGAGTGGGAGATGGTAGTGTGGCAGAAAGAAGTAATCAATTCTGGTGTATGAGTTGTGTGGGTGTGAAAAGAACGTAAAGTCCCTGTCAGGAATTTTATTCATTTATTACTGGCTATTTAACCCCTTAAGGACACATAACATGTGCGATGTCATGATTCCCTTTTATTCCAGAAGTTTGGTCCTCAAGGGGTTAATCTCCAATCTCCAACACCTCAGGGTACAATTAATGTGTTAATCTGATTGATTGCATGAACTTCCTTCCTAATCCTTTGGATGACTCTTAGAGAGACCGTATGTTCCATCACCGGATCCCTTCTGAATCTCCTCTTCATACAACTATAACTTGGATTACCTGTTTAACTAATTCAGACTGGCCTTGACTCTGCTTTTGGAATTTCCTTCAATACTGCTTGATCTCCTATTAAACAATCTTGGACTGGATACAGGACTTTGCTTATGGACTAACCCTGGACACATCACCTAAACTTCTATTTTCAAGGACTGTCAGTTTATCTCTCTGCTTTGCTGCCACATCAGTTTGCCGTGCTGAAACTGCTTCAAAATAAAATGTGAGTGGTTCTTATTTTTTTGTTTGGCATTTGTTAAAGAAAAAACATGACGTGCCCTCCAGCTGTCTACCAATTTATGTTTGGATAGGAGGGTTTTGAGTGCGGATAGTTGTTGGGCTGGGATGTGTGAGGTACCTGTGGATGTGTCCCATCTCGGGTCCAGTGCCAGGTTAAAGTCTCCTCCTAGCACTAGTGTGCCCTCAGTGAATTCCTTTAGTTTGTGGAGGGTCCGTGAGAAGAATCTGTAGTGTCTCTGATAAAGGAGCTAAGATGTTGGCAAATGTGTATAGTTGTCCTGCAATCGTTCCCTTCAGGAACATGTACCTACCCTCTTGATCTGTTTGTAACCTCTGCTCTATTAGGGGGATTCCTCTGTGTATTATGATCGCGGTTCCCCGTGTCTTGCCACCATGGTAGTCGCTAAAGTAAGTACCAGTGGTCGTGTATCTTGGGTCGGGCCCCTTCTCTAAAGTGTGTGTTTCTTGTATGTAGACTATGGATGCCCTGGCGGAGTGAAATTCTTTAAGGGCGGTAGATCTTCTTTTGGGTTTGTTCAGCCCTCTTACATTAATGGAAATAATTGTGAGGTTGGCTGGTGTGAGTGTCATGTTTGGTGTCTGTCGGTCAGTCGGTCGGGCTTTTGGTCCAAAGGTTTGGGAGGGGGCGCAGTGGGTCCAGGGTGGGGACAAGTCCTGGGGGCCCCGCCACCTGGGCGGTGTTAGGGTTATAGCGTCTAGGTGGTCTCTGAGACCTTCACCTATCCATAGGTCTAGTGTCTCGTCCACCAGTGTTTGGCGCCTATCCTGTAGGAGAGTGGAAGGAAAGCTGGAGTCTCTTGGCGGGTCGTGGACCTGCTTTGGCAGCCGGTCCTGGACAGTTCGTCCTGCTGTTTCTGCCTGGACTGAACTGTTCTACTCCGTCGGTCTCCCGTGTCTTCCCTTTGTGGCTCAAATTGTATTCGGATCATATATTTGTGTCCTCGCCTAGAACGTGTGAGGCATCTGTGTTTTAACATTAACATACAACATTGCATACAACAAAACATTAAACTTGCATCAACATATGCATTGCAACTTGTTTGATATGATCGTACCCATTCCTTTGCGTGTGAGCTATGTTCGATGAAAGAGTGGTGTTACGTGCTTGAGTCCTAATTGTCGCACTCTTCCAATCTCCCGGGTTTCCCTTTCTCGTGTATGGGGGCGTCCGGTACTCCCGTTACGGCGCTGAGCTCTGTAGGCAGCAATGGTTGTCAGTAATTAAGTGTTCTTGCATAGCAAGACCACTTAATGTTATCTCACATATATATTATTCTTATTCTTATTATAGCCAAATTTGCCACCCTAACTCCTCCCACAGTTTTTACACTACATAGACAAAAATTTACCAAAACGTGCAGATTGTTCCCGATCGGATTGCTATTACTTTGTGGAACGTTTCGCCGAATGGTTCACGGAATATCGTTGTTCTTGTGGCGAAATTTGTCCCATAGGAATGAATGGCAAAGCTAGAGTGGGAGCTAGCAAAAGCTGAAAAATCAGGACATGATTTCTAAACTGCCACCACTCCCTTATTTTCAGGCCCACCTACACAAATCTTATATCAAAACGTTCAGCTATCCCTGCTGCCACTAAACATGACAACGGCTAAGCCATAGTCCTGATAGTTTTCACAATATAATCATTTGTTTGCAACTAATGCCGTCCATTGACATTCATTGAAACTTCACTCTACAAAGCTCAGTGTGTGTCCCCAGAGCTAGGTGTCTCATCTATGCGTCATGCTTATGGTGTCGTCCTGTGGGCCGTGTGCCCTGTATAGTTTTGTACTTGCGTTTTTCAAAAAATGTTGTTAATGTCCTGTGGTATCTGGGTATTTCCCTGTCTGGCCCGGCTTTAAAGAGTGTCCCGGCTGAGATCGGTTCTGTCTCTGCCAAGTTGGGGCCAGGGATTCTGTGATGGCGGTTGAGCTCGATGGTTAAGTAGTTCCATGTCGGGTGTCGTCTCATTGAGAGCATGGAGGTTGGAGCAGGAAGTGCGCTGTGAGTAGGTGTGTCCATGCGGTGTTGTTAAGAGGGTATTCCTTTGGCTTTTGTTTTCGTGTTGACATTGTAGAGTATTGCATCCCGGGCAGGCTGGATGTGAGGCTCTTGTGAATGGGATGAGTGTCCTGGTTTCAAGCGCTGTGGTCATGGGTTATGTTCCTTAGATGGCTCCTCTGTGTCAGAGGCCTCGGGGGCCTGTTGCCTGTTGGCGGTGGTCCTCGGGATGTGAGATCCAGTGGCCTGGTTCCCCTGACCCCGGGTGGGTGTGTAGAGCACCAGGGAGTCCGGCCACTGTATGCATGCCGGAGTTACTTGCAGTTCTCTCGCAAGAGCATCCATGTCTGCTCTTTCCCTGATCTCGAAGGGGCCCTTTGGTGTGTGGACCTGGAGTCCGTTCGGGAAGCACCAGCGGTATTTTATTTTGTTTGCCTGTAGTTGCCTGGTGAAGGGGCGCAAAGCCCAGCGGTATGCCAACGTGGTGGGCGATAGGGCCGGATATAGTTGTATCTCTGTGCCCTTTAGGAGCATTTCTTCTTTTAGCTGGAAATTTGTTACACAGAATATGAAGTCCCAAGGTGCGCTCCCTGCAGGGCCTTTCGGTCTAAGTGCCCTGTGTGCTCTAGCCATATCAATCGGATTCTGTGTGGGATGGTCCAGGAGGTCGTTAAATATGCCCGTTAGGGTATTCTGTACTGGGGTTGCGTCATTCGTCTCCTCCGGTATCCCACGGATCGGAATGTTTTGCCTTCTGCCCCGGTTGTCGAGGTCTACTAGGTGGTATGCCATTTGCTGGAGTTGTTGCGTTCTGAGTTGTAGGGTGTCCGTGTTTGCAGACTGCGCCGACGCCATGTGGTCGCAGTCCGCCTTGAGTTGGGACACCCTCTGGCACAGGCCGCAAAATTCTTCCCACATGGCTTGGAGCTCCGTGGTGATGGAGGCCCAAAGTTCGTCATTTGCTGCCTTCAGGTCCATTTTGGTTTGCAGGTTGCACAGCATGTCTATCCAGTCGGATTGCAGTGTAGTGAGGCTAGTGTCAGGTGCCTCTGTCTGTGTCTCATTGCTGCGTGGGGAGGGCGAGAACAATCCGCCTGAGTTCGTAAAGTCATTTGAGGCCTGTGTGTCTGGGTCCGCCGGGGCGATCAGGAATTGTCTCATGGAGGGATGAGTGTTCCCCTTGGGGGTGTCGGCGGGTTTGGAGGTGTGCGCTGCTCTGTGTGTTTTACCCATTTTCGGGGTAATCTGGTGCTGTTGGCGAGGTGGGTGTGGAGCCTTACAGGGTGCTCGGGGTTTACGCCGCCATCTTCCTCGACTTTCAAGCCACGCCTCCTCAAATAATTTTTATTAAGGTTTCAAAATATCATGCATTATAATATTGACAGATATATAATACCATATAAACTTTTGTCACAGTGAAAATAAATGAATAGAGTAGACATAAATACTTAAACAACTTGTGAATAATGTAAATAAACTATGGACAGAAGTGAAATTAAACATCAAGTTAATAGCACAACATGGTACAACAAATCAGGAAGAAAAATTTGTATTCAGTCAGGTGGAAACATGGCTAGAGTCCATATTAATCTTTCACATTGTCTTCCCACTTTGACCATTCCCGTTGCCAGACAGATATGAAAGTAGATTGATGCAAAATGCCAATTCACATCTTTTATTTTCAAACACGGATGATAGCCTCTCACCCACTGTTGGTACAGTGAGCGATTTCCAATGTCGGGAGAAGATGGAATTAACCAAAATAAGAAGACCTAATATCATTTTTTTTTTGTAACGAGGCAGATACATGGGAAATTTCTTAAATAGACAAAGACACAGGGATAAAACTCCATAGAATTCAAAGATATTATTAATTATTTGAGAATTTCTAGCCAATAAGTTTTAATTTTGGGGCACGACTAGAAGATGTGAAATAATGTTCCCGTTTGACCGCAGCCTCTCCAATATCCATTAGTTTCGCTAAGATGCATATTAAAAAGTTTGGATGGGGCTAGGCACCATCTATATATCAATTTGTAATGGGATTCTAAGTAATTTGTACATTGAGCTATACCTTTTATTAACAACAAGAAATCATTCCACTCTTTCACTGTGTATATCTCCCCCAGTTCACTCTCCCACCTCAACATGTGTTGCATTTTATGACACATCACCTGCAAAAATATTGTAACACAAGGATATACTTTGTTTCTGACTAGGATTCATTAAATATTTTTTTTTTCAATTTTGTCATGTCCAGCTTCAATCTGTGTGGATCCTGATCAGAAAGATCAAAATGTTCTCTAATTATTGTCACTAGTTTCTCATGTGTTGGGGAATCAAATACATTTAAAACAAATTTTTCTTTTAGTTGATCGAAAGGCAGAATGCTATTGGAGGAAAATAAATCAATAATATGGATAATCAAATGGGAGGTCCACAACTAATTCAGGTAAAACATAATATACTGCTTATAAGGGTGTAGTCCTGGACCAGGGGGCAATAGGTTGAAATTTTTTGAATAACGGGTTCCACATTTTAAGGGTTATTTTAGTGGAGGGAAATAATTCCGCTACCTTAGGATGTTGAGATGAAGGCAACCATAATAAATCTCTAATAGAACGACGTAAAATCTTATTTTATATAGCTTATGTATATCTAATAGAATGAGGTAAAATCTTATTTTATATCGCTTCTGTATATCTAAGAGGAGATTTTGTATATCACATTTTGTTGCAGGAGCTGATAGATCTCTGTTTCCCTAAAGTAGCAGATATTGACATTGAGGCTGATTGCACCGGCAGAGAGTCTGCTATAGTGGCATCACAGACTGTAGATCAGGTCCCCAGTTTTCTTTACCAACCACTTTGTTTTGCGTGGAGTGCTGAAATAAGGATTCTAGTATCATTATGTGCACTGGTTTAATATTGGGATCAGAGACCCATTTATGGATGATAAAATGATACACCCTCGCTAGCTGGAACTGAGGGAAGTGTATCTTAGGTTTAATCCACTAGTAGAAGTCTTGGCTCCATGCTGAGAGCTAGGCCCCAGAATGTTTGCGTTGCTTTTTAACTGCTACAGAGTAAAAAGATAGCATTGATTTAGAGTTGGAGGTACCATAAGGAAGAACTAGTAGAGTGTACTCTAAAAATTGTGGTAATACCAATATTTTCTAAAAAAGTTGATGTGAATCACCCAGGCTACACAAAATGTCGACCCTTCAGGCTCAAAGCTAAACTAACCCCCCCCAAGCTCTGTGTTTTATACTCTTCACAAATGTTTGTGCAGCTCTGCTGTCAAGTATAGGAGGTTGACTGGACTACAAAGGACACAGGCCAAGACTTCTAGTGCATGAGACATGAGGAAGCACCTGAGTGGGCACCAAATGTGTCATATTGATTAAGCCTTTCCCCCTGTATGTATAGGCCGTGATGTGACTTCAATAAAGGTCCCCTTCTTTTTTCTTATTTTTTGAGGATTGAGATATTTTTTTTCCTTGAGGAAGAATACAATATTTTCACTCAAAACAGCTTCTTCTGACATCTTACAAGTGAAAGCTGATGTAGAAGAATCTACACCTGCTGAGGAGTTCACAGAAACATGTTGGGGGGGGGAGGAGACATAATGTGTGTGTATAGGCACTGTCACCCCATTTACCTGGAGGAGGGTAATTGCCTCTTCTTGTCTCATGCTTTGGATGTCCATGAACAACTGTAATGTGGCCCCTGTCAGATGAAGCATTTCATTGGACCACGGATGACAACAGCAGCATGAAAACAAATGA